GTGCACAGAATTCGAAAATGACTATGAAAAAGCTCTATTGCGCGAGGTTTAGATGTTTCAAGTATATTTCAGTATGCAGGGAAATATATACAGTTAACTTGCGGTGACGAACAACGGACTCTCTGTTAGTTTCACTGTTGCTTTCTCTTTTGAGAGTCCAGCGATAATCCTTGAGCATGGTTTGTCCCTGCTAACGAAATTTAATTTCGGAAATGCTTGATGTTTCCCCTGTTCATCGATCGCATCAATCAAGTTGTGTGGAAATATGTCGAAGTATGATAACATCATTAGTTGACACTAGAAATTCGTGGTTATTTCCCATAAATCTAGTCACCGCAGCTTTGAATGAATTAAAATATGTAAAACTGTAGAAATAAATATAATTTCGTTAAAATGTATAAAAAGTTTTTGGATTAAAAAGGTAGTAAAATATTTTTAAAAAACACCTTAAGACCAATTAAAACTGCTCTTACATCTTATTTTATAGCCAGTTTTAAGGGGTTTATATATATATATATTTTACTAACTTTTTAATCCAAAAACCTTTTATACATTTTAACGAAATTATATTTATTTCTACAGTTTTACTCGTGGTTTTAACTTGTTTACATTATTTTTAATTTCAATTTTAAACATATAAAATCGATATATTCAACTTTTTTTTCCCCCTAGCTTTAAATCCCTATGGCTTGTCATTCAAAACTCATGTAATGATATCAATATATATCATTCGACATACGTTATTATATCTTGGAATATTCTGTCAAAACAATTTTTCATTTCCGGGATACTTAAAAAAATATACTCGTGCATAGTTGTTCCGCCTATTCTGGAGATAAACGCTGCATTTAACTAACAAAGAGGCAACAGATAAAGAATACTGCACTCATTCATCACTTTAGTTATCATTATTCAACTCAACGCTGTAATCAATACCATAAATATCTTTTTTATAAAGAACAATTACGTTGCCCTTTAAAAAAAAAAAACGATAGAATTGTTGTTAGTAACAGAAATATATTCTTTGCTGCTTCCTAATCGGTAAGCTATCTACAGTAATATTTTACACGTTTTAATTTTTAATCGTCTTTCTTCTATTTTTGTGGATGATTATGAGTGAGATTGTTATCATCGTTATTCTGTTAAATGCCCATTTTAGCGGAAATAACGTTGCAAAGTTCAATATTTGTTCAAGAAAAACTCGATACATTTTCAGATTATCAACTGAACTGTGATGCGGATAAAAACCGGGCCTGGGGAATCCAGAATCAAATCCGGACAACAACTCCCCTAGAATTTTTCATACGGGGGTCAGTCTCAGTTATGTCGAATCCCGTCCCTTTTCATCTTCCGCTTCATTGTAAGCCTGAATGAACCCACAATGGATTTAAAAAGTCTTTTAGTGTTCGTGAGGAAAAAAGAGTAAAAAATGAACGAGCAAATATTGTGACGATGTCGGGCTGCAATTTTTAATCATATTTTTAATGTATTTAATTTAAAATATATGCTCTCTACCTTAAATTAATAGCGTCTTGCCCCTGTATACATCATACGTTTACTGTCAACAACGTGCCGGTCATCTACCTAACTCCTTTCAGGGGAAAATGTTTTAATTGAACTTACTTACTTTTGGTTCGCATCGGTTTGTATATAGTTAATCGGGGCCTCCTGCCCCTAAGGTTTCCGCATCTGGTGTCGTCTTTCTGCAAAATAGGTAGAAGAAAATAGCATAATACTAATTAATTAATTTAATACTATCCGTAATTAAATTTGGTAACAGTAAATATACCAAGCAAATTAGTACCACATTTTTGGATAAATGCCATTTCTGCTTATTTGCTATCATGGAGAAACAAGTTGTTTCCTAGCATATATTTCAAGAGGATCGTGCACAACCTCTGTTTATTTTCGTTAGTTATTACGAATTCTCTACAAATCCACCAGTGACCAAATGGATAAAGCCACTGAACCCGTGTGACCTGGACCTGGCCGCCTAGAGTTTTCAGAGTTTTCTTCAGTAAGGACTGCACCAACCGAAATAAAAATATTAAATATCGAGTAAGAATTTAATTTATTTAAAAAAAAATGATATATTAGATTTTATCTGGATCCAGAACTTTNTGAATTATTCCCGCCAAAAATTAAATTGATCGCAGCCCCGCATATAGGCAAGGCCGCGAACTTTTCGAACAGCCCTCGTACAATATAAGATGCATCCAAGTGGTCAATCTGATGACAAAAAATACAATACAGATTGTTTTTCTACTGAAAAACCTACAGAAGTAAAATAGAAATGTTATTAAAACTTAATATTTGGTTGTACCTCATCTAGTGTTAATGACTGCTTCACATCTCCAGGTCATTGATTGGATGAGTTCTTGAATGTATTCTTTACTCAGTTTGTAATTTGTGGTGAAATACACAAATTAGTGACTCCTGGAGTTGTAAAGTGATGTTGGCTTCTTTTTCATTATTTCTTTGCCCATCTTATTCCAACAATTTTTGATATGGTAAAATCCAGACTATTTCTAGGTCAAGTCAAACTGTTGATTCCATGGTCACTTTTCCATTTTTAAACCTGCATGCAATTTGAAAAAATACAATACAACTAAGCTTTTAGTTAAACTAAAGCTTAATGCCTAGAGAATGCTATTCCATAGCAATTTGGCCCTATGACATGGATCATCCTGGAATATGCAATTGGAAGCTGACCTAAACTGTTCCCAGATGGTGGAGAGTAATTTCTTATCCAAAATGTCAATATACACTTTAGCATTGACTTCCTTGCACAAATTGTAAGCAACCAACTCCTTCATAGGAAATACAGCCCCAAATCATCTGGGAAACAGGATGCTTGACGGTACAGATAATACAGTCTGGATGGTGTTCCTCCCCTTTGTGACGTCTGACTGTCTGCTTTTCATCAGACTGTACAGGTTGAATTTTGATTCTTCAGAAAACACCACTGATTTCCACTGATCAATAGTCCATTATCAATGTTCTTTTGCCCTTGCTAGATGCTATTTTCTCATTTTGGCAGTCAGTAAAGGCTTCTTTCTGGATCAATGTGCCACCAAACCTGATCCAAACAGCCATTTTCATACAGTAAATGCAGATGCTTCTACTGAACATCTGATTCGTTTTGTTTTGCTGTCTTAAGGTCTGATGAATAAGACCTTCTATTCTGAAGACACAATTGATCAAATACCTGTCCTGGCTGCTGTGGATAAGCATGGATGACCACTGCCACCTTTTTTCGCAGTGCTTCCAGTTCTCTTTAACTTCTGAAGTCAAACAACAGTAGACTGAGAACAGCCCATTATTTCTGCTATAGAACATGTAGCAAGTCCTTCTTTGTGTAAAGCAATGGACACAATGGACACTTTTCTTTCGTAGTGTTAGTTGCACGTATTTCACCATAATGCAGCATAGCAGTCCAAGTTGTAAAAACACACACTGGAAGTTCTGGCAGTATTTACAGAGTTTTTTGGATAATGCAATCTTCCATAATAGTATGACTCATTCAAATAGCTTGCTACTTTTATAATATGATGCAACTTTTGTGAAATATTGCACAATTATTTTAAAAACAAGTTTTTAAAATAATTGTGCAATATTTCACAAAAATAAAAAATTGTTTTAAAAGTAATGCAATTTTTTACCACCACTGTATAAGAAAACAGGATAAATTACAAAAGGAGGCGGACATCTATAAGCGATAATCTGTAATTTATCCTAAGTAATAGCCGACAAGGAACTTGCACCAAAATGTATTCCACAGTAGAATAAACACTGTAATAACCTAACAAATCAGTTTTTTAGGTTTTTATAGTGCTTACTTTTGTCTAATATTAACCAGTTGTAAAGTAGCAGTTGTTAACATAGTAAAATATATACCTTGGAAAGGAAAAACCAGTTTATTTTCGTGTGTAATATCCTCTATAAGTCAAACTCTACATCAGGGATAGTCAACCTTTTTATACTACCACCCACTTTTGTATCTTTGTTGGTAGTAAAATTTTCTAACCACCCATCCAACAGCAACCTAACCACAGCAAGTTAATTTAGCACAACTGCAAAGTACTCATAATTTTTGAGTAGTGGTTTAGTAAAAATATGTAGTTAAATTTATCTTTTTATTTATATTTTGCATATGTTTATAATACACACAAAAATTTTTTTGCCAGTGCACCAAGTGTTTTTTTTATGTCAAATTGAAAAAAGTAGCTAAATCTGGCAATGCCAACCCCACCATAAAATGAGCTCAACTCAAGTAATGGCCACTGTTACAGTACAAACTGCTCCGTCAGTGAGTCATAGATGCGCGGTAATAACGGAAAGTTCTTTTGGCATCGGACAAAACTCCTACCAACCACCAAGAAAGCTCAAATCGGTGGGCGGTAGGGACCAGGTTGACTACCATTTTTCTACATGCCTGCAAAATCTCTCTAGTCACTCGAAAAAATCCAGTTACAGCCGATCAAATATCTTTATTTTTGGAAAAACACAACATATGCATAACGATCCCTCTTTGGCGTCAAGCGTATTTTTTTTCTCTAGAAATATATTAATGTAGGTGACATCGAATGATAATTACACTCCAATACAAAATGCACGTGTTGCATTCTTCCGAAAAGAAAAAGTAAAAATATTTGATTGATTAACCGGAATTTTTGAGTGACTGGAGAGATCAAGTTTGGCTTATAGAGGATATTACATATTGCTGTTCCCCATAGAGAAGTTTATCAGTTTATTTTCCTTTCAATCTACACGTCTCCTCACTTCAGTATAATCAGTCCTACATTAAAGGCAGAGCCACAATACCTATAATACTGAGCAGAAAAGAATTCCAAAACCTATTTATCCAAGTATACTTAAGAAATGAGAGATATAAATTGTTTTGATTATTTAAATAATGATTGACTTGTATCAGAAATATCTATTATAATTAATAATACAGTGTAATTTATATTTAAAGTTATTAATAATATAAAACTAACTTAGCATAATAAACTTTCCCATCTAAAGTTGCTCTCTCCTCCCATCCTGGTGCAAGTTCATCTTCACTATCCGTCTCCGGCAATAAAGCAGACATATTTATCTAAATAGAATATAAATATACGAGCGAAATAAATTTCATTTTACTTATAAAAATTAATGAAAATGCCACGATAACATTACCGATAACCTGCGTGACTGACACCACAGCCAACTTCTGTATTGTTTGTTTACTGTACCACTCCGGTGTGACGTGATGTCACAAATTTGTCTTATTTATTACAAACTGAATAAATAATAAAGTAAATATTAATATATAGAAATAAATTTTAGATATTAATATATATTTATAATACAGTTGTATTAGTGAAAACGAAATTAAAATTTGCTACAGGTATTATTATTTTTAAAAAATAAACAGTTTTTGATCTTGTGCTGCCCTCTGGAAATCATAAAATTTAGAAAAATAAATTTCTATAATTATTTCGAGCCAGTCTAAAAAAATGAAAATTGTACATTTTTTTCGGTATATTTTTATAATGCCCAAAAATAACTTATTTGATGATTTCGTATAGTAATTTACATTAATATTTTTAAATAACATTGAGAAATTCTGCAAAGTCTAATTACGCCGCTGAATTAAACTGGGTTTTTTAGAAGTCTTCTCACTCTGTGGACATTAGGAGGGCATCTTTTTTCATGTCAATTATGAATTTGGCCAACTCCGTAATGGGAGCGGCCAGTGGTGAGAGGCGGCACCCGACTTATCTATGAAAAACTCAGTATTCCCGAGGTTCCAACAAGGGTTGCCAACTTATTCTTCCCTTGGCCCACCCCTGAGTGCGCCAATTGTTAGCAACCGTAGTCTTAATCCAAACCCAACGGGAACAAGTAATTGTCTTGTCCATCCAGCCGTTCATCGTTAGACGGCCGGATGATCGAGCGGTCAAGGTAGTAGCCTACCGCTCTGGGGTACCTAGGATCGAATCCGGACGTATCGGGAGGTGGTCTGTCCGGATATGTCGGGCCCCGTTCCTCACCACCCGGCCGCCGTGTTGTGGGCTGGCCGAACTCATAATGAGCTTGCTAAAAGAGGCCCGCTTAGTGTCCACAGGGCAGAAAGAGCTTAAAAAATAATTTTAATAAAGCCGTCCATCATCGCTGGCTTGTAAGCTATATGTTACAGAGAAAGCTAACTGGAAATTAGAAGGCCCCTGGAGATAGCTGCGATATTCTTAGCTGATTTCAAGGGGCAAAACTATTAGGGATTTATAGGAGTTTTGCTCTCTCAATGTTAGCAAATTCCGCTGAATTGTCGGCAAAAATCACGTTAATTAATGTCTTTAATTTACTTTGAATAATTACAAGATAATTTCCCAAGTAATGCGATAACCTTAAAATCGGGAAAGATTATCCATCAATGACTGCGTTGTATTTTAAACAATATAATATATTTATAATATATTTTGGAAACAATAGAACAAAGGATGTTTTGCAAACAATAGAACAAAGGAGATTTTGCAAACAATAGAATTTGCCTTATTTTAATATGTTCGTGTAATTTACATTTTATTCTAAAAAAAATTGCAAAATTGTTGCGGGATGGAGAATTTTGACAATCACTTTCGCATTCTGTACCCCAAAATATATTATAAACGGGGTTATAGTGTATACCATAAAGCTATAACTTTAGAGCGTTATAACTTCATGGGGCCCAGGCGAATTTGAATTAGGTGACCTCATGTACAGTGTTGACTCGAGATATTTTTCTTCGGGAAAAATATTTTCTTATAAAAGATCAGTCAACACCAATTGTGAGATTGCGCCTTTTCAGGATAAAGATTCGAACTCCTGACACCAAATGTGAAAAACGGCTGTTTATTCAGGATGGTTTAATTATAGTAGACAAGGAAGATCAGCAAAATTTCTCTGTCCGATACGTCAGGAACCTGACACCAGTTGGGATAGTTGTTATTTGCGTCCTAACTCGCGATTTGTAGTTGAACTTAAATATAGGAGGGTTTTAACTTCTACTTTACACGCGGGATCGACGGTGGTGTTAGGCACTTAGACGAGTTAGAATATTACAAACTATTTATTTAAACGAATAAATTAAATCTATATATAATGATAACTAAAATGAATTAAATTAACAATTACAGATCTTTAACAATTCGATTGAATTTGGGCTAAACGAAAATTAACAATAAAAAGTGCGAAAAGTATCTCCTAAAATAAATGGAAAGACTTCATTCGTCGTTTCTATCACGAAATCGATCAATTCTTATGTAAATGGAGATTTGTCAGAACATCATTGCCACTTATTGTGATATTCGGCTTAACAATGCTAAAAAAAATACTTAAATTTTGAAAGTTCGTGGTCTGAACTTATCAATAAAATGGCTGCAAATGATGCAAAACTCAGAAAAACGCTTGAAATAAATGACTTTTAATCGCACGAACTGAAAATTCGACCGCTCGCAACAAATTATCAGAGTTTTATTGTTGCGTTGCCACAAAATTTAATGTAAAACATTTGGATTTTTCCCCGAATTTCATGATTTTTCTGTCTCTTCTGTCGCTGAAGAGACGGATTATCGCGGGCCATTCGTTGCATATACATTCATTTTAACAGTAACATATATTCAAAACTCTAATATTCTCGTTTTTCGTGTCCTTATAAGGATGAATAAAAATTTCGATATTATGACGATCCTTCGAACCAAAAAAGAATATACTTCAAGTCTAGTAACACCTCTTATCTACCTTGTAATTTACTTGAGTGGCGCTCTATAATCTATTAATAAAATTAAACTTTTGTTAAAGTATCCGAATTTTATAGATAAAAGCTTATACATGATATGGACTAAAGAGCGAGTTACGTTCTGAAATACAGGAAAGATAATGAGACGCATTGAGTGACTAAACAAACCCTCTTGAGAATGATTTATTTTTCCATTTTTGACGAATTATAAACTTCATTCTAGATGTGTTAATTAAGCTATGCGTTAGACAAAAGAGAAGAGCAAGTACACTGCTAATACGATTTCTAACCCAAGTTGTCCTCCGGCATCTGACAGATCGGGTTGAAATACGGAGAACAGCTGATGAACCCGTGAGTGTTAAAGCAAAATGAAAATTAATAAATATCGACGGAATATCGAACACTATAATCATTATATCGAACACTAAAAATCATTGAAAATTATTACATTTAATTAAAATTATTACATTTAATAATTAAAGATCTACTATATAAAGCTGAAAAAAATGGGTATTTTCTGTCACGGTATACCAAAAAGCCACTAGGGACGCCCCTAGCTATTATTTAAATTGATTTAAATTAACAATATAAATTATGTTATGTTTATTTTATATTTTTACGGTATAATACTCAGTATATTATTATTTTTATTTGTAATTTAGTATGCCCAATGCCTGCATCGTGCTTGTCGGCTTGTTTTATCATAATTTTGATTTCTGACTTTGAAATATTCATTTTCACAGTTCTATTTTAACAACGGTCGCTTCTTCTTCATTGCAGAATAGATAATTTCAAAGAGTTAAGAAAGTGGCACACTTCGGGAGATGATAAGCGGGAGTAAAGTGCCTCTTCCTCCTTCTCTTCCTCCTTCTCTTCCTCTTCCACTTCCCTTCGAGTGATTCGGATGCTTCCGAAAGATGCTGAGGAAAGAGGAAGGCGGAAGTCGCCTACATCCGATAAAAGGGTGGTTGTCATATCTCCGAACGAAAGCACCTCGTCTCTGGTCGAGTATCTGGGGCGACAATACCCGAAAGTGGCGGAACGGAGGAGGAGAGGCGGTTGCGCGAGGTAGGACTCGACGGACAGGAATCTAAAGGGATCCTGAAAAAAATCCGACAAGAGTATGAAGACTTAGTGGAAAAGGATTTTCTTTTTCTGCAGAAAATAAATCTTTTCACCGCCGAAGTCAATTTTGCTACACGGAAATGACCACCCGACTTAACGAACTAGACTCGGCTTTTTATCTGGCTTGGTTTCTTTCCATTCCACTTTACGGACAGACCGAGGACTCGTTATTTCACTTTGATTAAATTAAAGTTCACAGAACAACGACGGTGTGATGTCTATCGTCTCAAAGTGACGACGAAAACATAAAGTAGTGTTTCTCGACTTTAAACGACTATAACGGGCCAAGGCGCCTTATATTATGCAGATATTTATGCTGTTTTTAAACCAGTGTGCTACTGCAAACAAATTTCACAAGAAATGATAGAAAGTGGCCACTCGTATGCACTACAAATCGACGTTAAACTTCAATAAAACACAATCGAAGAAAACACATTGTAGTCAGTATATGTGTTATCGCTAAAGCTCGAAATCCGTTAATGTGTACATTACCTAGCTAATCTGCAGATTAACTAAGGTGATCCGTTAAAGCTGCGAAAATTGTTCAATTTCTCAAATTACCTAGGTAATTTGCAGAGTATCTAGGTAATCTGCACGTTAACGGCTTCCGTATCGTTAAAGTTCAAAAGTTTGTTTCTTTCACTTCCTTTCCCCACTCCTTCTTTTTACGTAGATAAATTTAAATCCTAGAATGCAAGCAAGCACCGAATTGGTGAGTAAAATCAAGAAAAGATTCTTCGCAAACCTCTTTAGCGAAGATTTAAAATATAATACGTAGTGTTTTAATAACAAACCAAAGTATGATTCCATAATTGAAGATGTAAAGCAAATAAAAGTTTCCAAGAAGAAAGAATCATCTCGAGATTATCAAATAATTCAAAGGTGTGATGTGTTGACTGTACGAGGCTGTGAAAAACTCATTGAGCCGTTGTCAGATGCGCGAGAAAGGTTTGAAAAAGTTTGTCCATGCCGGAGAATTGTTTGACATTCGATAAAAACTGAAGAAGACCTTGAAAAATTAGAAGATTCACAAGAGACTGTGATTATGAGATCACAGTCAAATCTTACTCAAGAGGACATTCCGTTATCCCCCGCTTCTACAGAATCACCTATAGAAATACAAGAATTTACCGATAGTAATCTTAAACTGCCTTCTATACCGTTGATTGATGATGCAGTCACGAAGAATATTCAGTTACCCTGCACCTCCAAGGAATCGCCTCTGCAAGTTGAAGAAGTCATCACTGAGTTACTCTCAACTTCAGCAGAATCGCCATCACAGTTTCGTACGGAGCCTGTAAAGAGCACTATACAAGACATAGTCTGTATTGTTTGCTCAAAAGCAGCATCAAGTGCTCACAAGTGTAAATCGTGTAATATGTTTGTTCACGCAGTTTGTGGTGAAGTAGATCCTAAAG